GTGGCTGCTTCCACAAAACTGTCAGCCTCAGGTTGCTTGAGTTCGAACCTCACAACTCTCCCGCTGGCCAAAAGTGCCCTGAAGGCATTCGAGGAACAAAAAAAAAAAAAAAAAAATCCTTATTAGGGCTGGTGAGATGGCTCAGTGGTCTAAAGCACCTACTTAGAACAGGCTTAGCAAAACACAGGGACCGGGGTTCAATCTCCCAGCACCACATGCCAGCCAGCCCGCCCCCTGGTGGGCTGAGCTGGCCACACACACACACACATAAATAAATAAATAAAATTAAAAAAAAAAAAGAAGAAGAAGAACATGAACTTCTTTTTGGTACAGTCCAAAATTAATAAACAGAATAGTGTAAAAACAGTATTTTCAAATTGAAAGCATCTTTATATTACTCATACTTTTGAAACTTAAGACTGTAAGTCTAGCAAAACTCACCAGAAAAATGAGTAAAGAAAATTTAAGCATAACTATGTTATCAATAAATTTTATAGCCAGTTTTAAAAGATCCTTTGTAATTCTTTTTTTTTTTTTTTTTTTCGGAACCAGGGATAGAACTCAGGCCCTTGCGCTTGCCAGGGAAGCACTTATTCCACTGAGCTGTCTCCCTGGCCCCCTGATCCTTTATAATTCTAATCAGCTGTTTTGTACCTTGCAAGATGTAATGGTCATCTGTAGGACACGATTGTATTTACTCACCAGTTCATTTTATAGGTTTCCTATTTGCTTACACAGAAAGAAAAACAACATGCATTTTTTTAAAAATAGGAAGTCAACTTAATGAAAATATTTCTTTTTGGGGGTGTGTGGGACATTGAACCTATGGCTTTGCACATGTGTAGCATAGATTCTCCAACTGAGCTGTCCACTCAGCCCTAAAGAGATTTTTTATTTATGAGAAGGCTGTAGTCTCCTCTGGAAAGGGTGCACAGGAGGTAGGCCACAGTTCTTAGTGACCCCTGTGTTCCCAACACTAGTCTCTGATAAAGAAGACATACATGTACATTCCACCTAACCTGCTTATTTAGGTTTTTCAGAGACATGCTTGAGTTCTGTGAAATTCTTCTTTAGCAGAACAACTAATTTTTCTTTATTAAGGTTTTCTGTGCATAATGTTCTTTGTGTTGGTGACTTCCCTACTACTAGCAGTTGCTTTCGGTTTCTGGCATTCAAGAAAGTATTATACTAAAAAGTAATTCCAAATCTAGGGTATGTTTTGTTTTTCAGGTAAGATTACTAACATAAGCCTGCTTCCTCAGCACAGTCCACCTGACTTTATCCTCTTAAACTTTTATATACCAACATAGAGGTTTGTGAAGTTTTCATTATTTATATTTGACTGATTTGCTCTACAGCCTTCTTGCTTGAAAAATGAAGATAGAAAGGCCGACTTGTTACCAGATCAAATTAGTTGAGCATCATTATAACAACCTTTTACTTCCTTTATAAATTTTTTTCCCCTCACTTTGTTTTTCTCTTTAAAATTGTCTATTTACATTTAAGAGATGGTTTTTAAGTGATTATTGCATAGGCAGAGTAACTGGTATGGTTTTGAACTTCCCTTTAATCCTGAGGATTTGTACTATAACACAGTATTAAATATTCTGTCTCTCCTCAACTAAAGTCACACAATTTGTTTCTTTTCTTTTTTTTTTATTTTATTTTTATTGAGAAACAAATAGCAATGAGACAGTTTCAAAACTGATTAGTAGGACAGTTTCAATAATTAATACATTGCATATTGTTGTCTTCATAGTAATTAGTCATAGTACAAGATACCCTGTCCAAACACTATTAGTACAAATCTTTCCTTTCATTGAAGAGAAAGTCTCTGTATATCTATCTTAACTATTTTGTATATTGAGATACAAAATGGTCCATC